GGATTCAGACAATAACTCTCAAAGATAAACTTATAGACAATACATAAGGAAGTTGTACCTTTTAGCATGTATATCGTGATTCAGACAATAACTCTGAAAGATACACTCATAGACAATACTTAAGAAAGTTGTATCTTTTAGCATTTATATCGGGATTCAGACAATAACTCTGAAAGATACACTCATAGACAATACATAAGGAAGTTGTACCTTTCAGCATGTATATCGTGATTCAGACAATAACTCTGAAAGATACACTCATAGACAATACATAAGGAAGTTGTACCTTTTAGCATGTATATCGTGATTCAGACAATAACTCTGAAAGATACACTCATGAACAATACTTAAGGAAGTTGTATCTTTTAGCATTTATATCGGGATTCAGACAATAACTCTGAAAAATATTTGATGCACAGTGAACTTTATTGAAGACACGAGTTAAACAATTGTGAACAAAATTGCTTCCGTGGCGACTTGAAAGACTTTCCACATAAAAGACGATAACGCGCCATCTATATATAAGATTTGAAACTATTAAAGCACGAAAATTTCTCTTTAAATATAAAACAAACTTCTACTGTCCTTACTGCGATGGAAAAATATTGTCAGGGCTTGACTCATCAGTGGTGAACCCTCCCAGCGGTTTCGTCAATTTAATATACAAGACCGCTTTTTAGAGCTCTAATACTGTATTGGACGATTCTTCTTATTAATGCTGAAATGAAAGATGGTATCTTAGAAATTAATTTCAAGCAAACTATAAACATAAGATGGGAATCGAACTGCGCGGAACACAGCGGAAAACTGTGGGTTCGATTCCCATCACTGGAAACTTCATTTTTCCGTTTATCATTACTCTTCACAATTCATCCTTTCATACTTCATGGACAGTAAAATTACACGTAAATATTTGCGTCGAGCAATTCGCTTCCACAAACAATAAGTACAAGTCAAAAAATAGTACAAAATTAAATTTGTACTTGATCAGGTAGTTAAATTAAGAAAAATGGGTATCTGACCAATTCTGGAATAACTAAAAATTCAAATATTAGTTGATATTTATTCCGATAGGTGGCGCAAGCCATCAGCAACTTTTAGTTGCACGATCAGGAAATTCCTTTTTTCTAAATAAGTACAAGGCCAGTTAGACATACATTAATACATAGCAATAACGCATCATCTATATATGAGATATTTGTCCATAATTGTACATATAAATATTGTTTAAACAAGGTAAAATCCTCTGGAGTAACTTGGTAAAGAAAACATTCAAAGACAAAGAGGATGAGTTTCTTTTTATAAACATGCGTTCGAGCTTTCGGGCATAATGTCGCCCTTCAATACATGGGCTGCAAGCTTACGAGCTCCACGCCCCTCATGATTCCTGTTTTGTATATCATACATAAAACTTAAATTTTATCTCTCTAAAAATAATATTTTTCTTGTTTATGCTAATCACCTGTATATATATAGACGTATCTTGATTCTCTATGTATTTTTATTCCTGTTGAAGGGCGACATTATGCCCGAAAGCTCGAACGCATGTTTATAAAAAGAAACTCATCTTCTTTGTCTTTGAATGTTTTCTTTACCAATATAAATATTGTAAAGAGTATTTATTAATATTATTATTTTTATTAACAGAGTGGTCATTTTTATGTTTATATATTTGCTACTCTGTAAATTTCCCTCGTGGCTTATCTTTTGTTTACCATTCATAGTTTGTTCTTGCCTGAAATAAATTGTTGTCTCCTCCTGAAGTTTTTGTCGTCCCTAATTTTCCACGTGGAATTTTGGTGGAGATGCTGGGTAAATTAGGGAAGACAAACTGAAGGCCGCCGAGAAGACCTAGAGGCCATGGGTGCTGTGATCAACATTTTCGGAGACTGATTCCAGGATTCCACCACCGTGCTAAAGCCAAGACTTCCCTCGAAGATGACGATGTCCCTATAGACGATACGACGACAAAGCCGCTCTTAACGCCGCAAGAAAAAGGACGCAAAGGTACTAGGAAAAAAGTTCCAAGACTTCGATGGACTCCTTAGTAGAAGCACGTCAGATTCATTCCAGGATCTACAATAATTGCTAGCTGTGGGTCACAGCTCCCGTAGGGAAGAAGTTATGTAACAAAGTATTTATTAATTTTATTATTTTTATTAACAGAGTGGTCATTTTTATGTTCATATTTTGCTACTCTATAAATTTCTCTTGTGGCTTATCTTTTGTTTACCATTCATAGTTTGTTCTTGCCTGAAATAAATTGTTGGCTCCTCCTGAAGTTTTCGTCTTCCCTAATTTTCCACTCGGCAATATGTTTTATTTTTGTCCTTTTTATGCGTTTTTATAATAGTCTAATATAGAAGGCTTTGGGAATTTGCATCTGTCTCCTTGAAAAAATAGATAACGGTCTACATCAACGCGCGTATTTCCATTTTCTTAAGTTTTGTAAATGAACGTATATGTAGAAGGACATTTGGAAATTATACCACAAATGTTTATTTTGAACGAAAAATCAAAATTTATTCTAAGGAGAAATAACGACTATTTCTAACCTTAGGGATGAAGTATGAAAGGATGAATTGTGAAGAGTAATGATAAACAGAAAAATAAAAGTGTTCAGCGATGAGAACTCTATTTTTCCGTTTATCATTACACTTCACAATTCATCCTTTCATACTTCATCCATAAGGTTAGAAATAATCGTTATTTCTCCTTAAAATAAATTACGATTTTTCGTTCAAAAGAAACACATGCGGGATAATTTTCAAACCTCATTCTACAATCATAATCAGCATTAGAATGTATATGTGTACATGATATATATATATGTTCCAGATTGAATTATTTTTTGTTACTATTGGCTATGAATAATGGCTGAAACAATAGCTAACACTAATGAAACATTCCGAAATTTTCCCATTTGAATTCCTTACTATTTTGGTCCAAATTTTTACAACCCACAATTCATTACAAATCATGGTAATTTTGGAGAGTTTCTGTAGAAAATCGGGGCAAAAGATGATCCTAGATGCTTCTGTGGAAAATAAAACTAAAACTCAATACATTTATTGATAGAATGTCCGATCTTTCACAGCTTCAGAAATAATCATTTTTATCCCATCAATGTGCGAATTTGTATATAACAAAGGCCCCTATGTAAAATTCAATAATTTTTGTATATTCATTTCAGATTTTTTTTCTGTTTGAGAAAACCAACCTTTCAGTTTTAATTTTGTTTATTGAATTGTATATAAAATGAATTGTATATAAGCTGCTAAAATGTATTTAGGCGCAAGTATCCCAAGCTGGGATATCGCGTCCGATATGTTAAATTAATAAAAAAAGACAGATTATATAGAATTTAAAGGTAAATCTATGTAAATATTGGACATAAGAATTTATAATAATAGTGTACATATTCTCTTTTGATATTTTTTCAAATAATAGATCGTTAGGGAATTGCTATATACGTATTTTCGTGTATTAATATTCCCAATTGAATTAATGGAAGACTATCCATTTCCTTGAGTTTTGCGAATTAATGTATATATCTTTGACTTTTATTCGCATTAAACCTTTTCTTATTTAGTTATCTCGACAAAATATTCTTAAACAACAATATAATGAGGCTTATGATTGTAGAACACCATTTGAAAATTATCCCGCATGTGTTTCTTTTGAACGAAATATCGAAATTTATTTTAAAGAGAAATAACGATTATATTTAACCTTAGGGATGAAGTATGAAAGGATGAATTGTGAAGAGTAATGATAAATGGAAAAATAAAGTGTCCAGGGATGGGAATCGAACTGCGCGGAACACAGCGGAACACTGTGGGTTCGATTCCCATCCCTGGACACTTTATTTTTCCATTTATCATTACTCTTCACAATTCACCCTTCATACTTCATCCCTAAGGTTAGAAATAATCGTTATTTCTCCTTAAAATAAATTTCTATTTTTCGTTCAAACGAAACACATGCAGGATAATTTTCAAATGGCGTTCAACGTTTTCTTTGTGAATGAGGTCTTGATGCAGAATCTAGCTTCTTACTAATATAGATAGGGGCTATAAGTATTACATAAAACGATATTTTCTTGAAATTTTTCTGCTTTGAATGAATATTTGAGCAACGATACCTGCCTCTTGTAACTACCTCCAAAGGTTTGAGACAATCTTTTGTGACGCATTGAACCAACTCACCTCCAAACAGAAAAGAAACTCCATCGTAAGGCATAATCTAAGCGACTATACAGCCATTGCAACAATACAACAATAAATTACAACAATTAAGCAACTAATTACATCAATAAAAATAACAACAAAAAAACTGTAATCACAAATCAAGCAATTAAATTCTCAAATTACTTACAACAATAGAACCAATAGAGCAAAACATGTAATTACAACAATACAGCAATTTATTTAAAAAATTAGTTACAACAACACAACACAGCAATTAACAACATCAATAAAAATAACGACAATAAAACAATACATTGTAATTACAACAATACAGCAATTAATTTCACAAATTACATACAACAATACAACACAATACAGCCATTACAACAATACGTAAATTAATTATAGCAATAAATTACAACGATACATTAATTAAAATAACACAATAAAACAATACAGTCATTACAACAATACAGTCATTACAACAATATAGAAGTTAATTACAGCAGTAACTTACAACGATACAGCAATAAATTACAACAGTGTAGCCATTACCTCAAAACAGCGATCAATTACAGATTTTATTTTGCTTATCCCTAGTACACGTGGTACAGGCCATGATAATCATGGTGGGTAGAAAAATCGACAGCTTTAACTGCAAGTGCACCACATGTCTATACATGTATAAAGCAGTTCGACCTTTGTACTTACAAATGTGCCAGAGCCCCCGTTTGGATACTTGCACTCGCTGATGGAGTTTAACTTTTGCAAGAATCAGAGGCCATCGGAGTATTTTTTTTATCAGAAAAAAGTGCCCAATACGGGAATCGAACCCGGGTCGTAGTGGTCCAAAACCAATGGTTTTGACCATCCTACCACCGACCCCCTTACTTGTATACCATGGTTTCATGCTATGTCCCTCATCAGTACAGAGGGGGGTTTCTATTCCATAATATTCTACGGGAGAAGTAATGAATCAGTTGAATTTATCAAAAGGTTTACAAATGTGTCAGAGCCAGTATATCACTTCTCTAGAATTATAAAAACAAAGCCTTGTGGAGACTTAAGTTTTTAAGAGAAATGGACAGAAAAACAAATCAAATAAACTTCCAGGCAATATTTTAATTCCAATTTTCGGCGCAATCGACTTGAATTGTTAACTCTGAAATTGAATTATTTCCTACCCTGATTTGATTAAGTTCTCCACGCGTTTGTTGTAATAAAAATCTCATCTTTGGCACTTCATCCTTTTTTTATCGGCGTTTTTTTCTGAATTGCCGACTGTGTTTGACAGTGCCATATCTTACCTAGGTTTATGATCATGTTGTATAGGATGGAATCCATATTGCGATATACTTCCTTTGCGGGATTACATTCTATTCTGTAAGAAATATTTAAATGGATATATGAAAAAACAATAGAAAAAATAAAAAATAAAAAAGATCAGGTGTTGCTATCAAAAGTAAAAAAGGCATATCCTGACCAGGAGCACATTTGCTTTTTAGAAGGCAGAGCGCCATCTGGTGGAACACAAATCAACTATTTATTGATTTATTCATCGAACAGGTTAAATCAATGAATATTTTACTTCTATTCCACCAGATGACGCTCTGCCTTCTGAAAAACACATGTGCACCTGGTCAGGATATGCCTTTTTATTTTTAAATAGATATATGTATTACAAATGAAAAATAAAGCGCGAATGGCTCTTTTCACAAATAAAACAAACTTCTACTGTCCTTACTGCGATGAAAAAAATATTAGGTGGGCTTGGCTCATCATTGGTGAACCCTTCCAACGGTTTCGCCAATTTAATCTACCAGACTGTCTATTTAGAGCTCTAATACTGTATTGAATCATTCTGATTTTATATGCAACACTCAAGGGTTTAATCTTAGCATTTAAGCAAACTATGAACATAAGCTTTTAGAACAGTAGAATTACAATTAAATATTTGCATCGAGCAATGTTCTTCCGCAAATAACAAAGACATTGTACTATATAGATGGAGCGTTATTGATATATATTAAGATATCGTTTTTAAAATAGAGCAATCCATAAATAAATATTTAAATAAAAAGGCATATATTGGATTAAAGTATCATCTATTTTACCAATATTTCAGTTGGCTGAACGCCAACCTTTATCAAGGTAAAACGACATACGAAAATCATCCCGCATGAGTTTCTTTTGAACGAAAAATCAAACTTTTATTTTAAGGGGAAATAACGACCACCTCTAAACTTAGGGATGAGGTATGGAAGGATGAATTGTGAAGAGTAATGATGAACGGAAAAATAAAAATGGCCAGGGATGGGAATCGTTATTTCCCCTTAAAATAAAATTTTGATTTTTCGTTCAAAAGAAACTCATGCGGGATGATTTTCGGATGTCGTTTTACAATCACGGGCCGCATTATATTGTATTATAAATTACTTTATCAAGGTATTAAAACATATTAATGCATTAATTGGGCCGAAAGAATTGAAATTTAAGTAATTAATTCTATTGACGTTATGTGGCGCTGAGTTTGTTGTTGACACCCGTTAATATGTTATAATACTTTGAAAAAGATTGGCGTTCAGCCAACTGATATATTGGTAAAATAAATGATATTTTTGATCCAATATATGCCTTTTAAATTAAATATTAAGATATAGGTATAATAGAATACATCATTTCATCGCAATTTTCTTTTTAGAAATAATTTCCTACTGTTTTTACTGCGTTCAAATATATATTAGGAAGGCTTGGCTCATCAGATCTCAATCTTTGCAGCTGTTACACCAATGTAAACATTAATAAAAACTTCGATTTCGCATGCCTATACACTCATTTACACAAATATGCTCAACTCCAGTTCTCGAAACAAGTTTTGGAAGCTAAGAAAAAAGCAACAACAAAGAACTGAAGGATTTCACAAACACGAGGGTTTTGTTTATTTAAAGATGAACAGAGATAGTTCGTGAAATTCCACAGGAAGAAGAAACATAAAGAGAATCTAACACGAAAAAAAGTTGAAAAAAAAAAAACTTTTTGTTGAGAGATTCTAAGACATTTTTACACCCCTCTACTTTTAGATAATTGTGTTTTTTTTTTATATCCATTTCCCTCGTTATTCTGCCGGATATACTGTATTATTAAAACCCAGAAATTTTGTAAAATTTCAAAGTATTAGTCTATTTAAGACAATTATTCTTGAGAAAACTAATATAATACTTTTTTTCAATTGAAGAAGATCTCTATGTAATGGATATATAAAAATATGTCTTATTAACAAATTACAATTATAATTAATTCAATAGCTATCTATTGTTGAAATTTTTAGCGATAATTATTTTTTTTTGCTTATATCTTGTATTACATATTAGCCAATGTGTTTATTATTATCAATTATTAACCAAAAGAAACTTATTCCCAAAATATTATTTGTACAAATTTTGAAAATATCTATTTTAGTTTTTCTTGAAATATTGATGTAAATAATATTATAAATGATTTAAATAAATTTAAAATATTTGCAGAGTTTCTTTATTAAGGTATTGGGAGCAAACTTTCGCGCGGTCGCGCTTCATCAGGCCACTGGCTCCGCAAAGGCGTGCACAACACATATATAGGAGAGATTCACAGAAATACATTTAAAAAATCAAATATAAAAATAGTTTCCAGTTGTAGAGGGTTAGGAGAACTGTTCCAGCATATTCAACACAGATATTACCAACCCCCATTGAAACTGTCCCCCTAACCCTCTACAACTGGAAACTATTGTTATATTTGATTTTTTAAATGTATTTCTGTGAATCTCTATTATATGTGTTGCACGCCTTTGCGGAGCCAGTGGCCTGATGAAGCGCTATCACGTAAAAGCTCAGAATAAACTATGCTATTAACTGTTTGGTCTTTAGGAACATAATCTTCTAAGATGTATCCTTTACTGTCCCTAAACATAGTCAAGAGTAATTTTCCAGTAGAACCTGTTATCTTCGGTTTCTTTGGTGTTGATGAACCTTTGTGATGGCATTCTGCACTTGATATTTTAGAGTCAGGAATGTGATGGTGTATCTATGATTCATCTCCAGTCACTATTCCATCAAGAAAACCTTCACCCTCAATTTCATAACGTTCAAAAACTCTTTATAAGCGTTAAGACGTTTTCCCTTCATTTCCTTTGTGAGCAGCCGAGGCACCCATCTTTTAATATTTTGTACTTTAATGTTTTGTAATGATTTTTGGACACTACCATAACTAAGGTTAAGTTCGGCAGAAATAACTCTAATGCTAATGTGACGATCGTTCTGTATCATCTCGTCAATGGCCCAGGTGGTTGCATCATCACTAACCTTGACCGGGGCGCCAGGTCGCGGTGCGTCATCCAAACTTTCTATGCCGCTTTTGAATTTTCTAACCTATTCAAATAATCTATTTTGAGATAAACATTTATCGCTGTGAACAGATTTCATTCTGGAGTAAATTTCAAATGGTTAACTCCTTCATGATAAAGAAAACGTATTACTGTTCGCATTTCATACTTGATGCAACTGTTTGTTTTCGTTCGCCATTTTTATTGGAAGAAAATGTTTTCAGATGCTTTCTTTTTTTGAGATTTAATTTTAAAATATAACAACAGAGTTCAATTTAAAGGTCTATACCTATATACATTTGTTTCCTTCTTTGTTTTTATTTTCTATCAAGCTTTTATCGTTTTTTATTGATCCAGCCTTGTAATTTCATATCTTATATATAGATGGTGTGTTATTGCCTTCATATTAATTCTGGAAAATTCACAAAAAAATAAACGTTGACTGCAACACCCATTCCCTCAAAGTCTTCCCGCTGATCTTCATTTTATATTCTCTTATCTACCCGAAATCTCTACCAAGATGTAACGTAGAAAAAAAGGCGGATGATGGGTTTCTATTTATGTAGTTGAATAATATTCTGTTAGAAAGTGAGACTACACCATTTCAAAACGTTTATTTAACGTTTTAATTACGGATAAATATTTGCATAGGGTAATGCTATTCCGCAATCAACTGATTCAAGAAAACAGTTAGGCATACACTAATTGAACAAACCTTAAGTTGCGCCTTCTATCATGTATATCGGGATTCAGACAATAACTCTGAAAGATACACTCTTGGACAAAGCTTAAGGAAGTTGTACCTTTTAGCATGTATATCAGGATTCAGACAATAACTCTGAAAGATACACTCTTGGACAAAGCTTAAGGAAGTTGTACCTTTTAGCATGTATATCAGGATTCAGACAATAACTCTGAAAGATACACTCATGAACAAACCTTAAGGAAGTTGTACCTTTTAGCATGTATATCAGGATTCAGACAATAACTCTTAAAGATACGCTCATGGACAAACCTTAAGGAAGTTGTACCTTTTAGCATGTATATCAGGATTCAGACAATAACTCTTAAAGATACGCTCATGGACAAACCTTAAGGAAGTTGTACCTTTTATCATGTTTATCGGGATTCAGACAATAACTCTGATAATATCAAATATATCTGCTACACGCCCACGGACGAGATAACCAAGTGTGAACAAAATTGACTGTGAATCCTTCAAAAGACAGACGACCGGAGATACCAAAGACGTTTCATTTACTTAATATTGTTCATGAGTGTATCTTAAACAACGGCAAAAAGGCTCATCTACACCTATTACTTGTCTACTTATATACTTGTATAAAATGAAATTAGGAAAAACGAATATTCATTTTTCAAATAAAGCAAACTTGCATATCCATTACTTATAAGAACCTGTGTTCCGAGTGGGTTCTCCACTTCTTAAGCTTGCCAAGACGCTAAGCTTCACTGTTTTTGCTATCTTTCCCAATGAAAAGTCTTAGTCCAGGGATTTTCCCATTTC